AGTAGGGCGCTATATAGTGGGGAAATGGCGAAAGAACAGAGTGAATCATCAAAATCCGGCGAAGAAAAAGCCTCCGTTCTCAGTGACTTGAAAATCGATTTCGGACGAGTTTCCCGTAGGCATCTTGCCAATCACCGCTACCGAAGATACGGCTGCATATGTGTACCCATGTATGCATGCAGCATCACGGCCGCTTCATACCAATCCCTTCATAATTTGCTCAGCAAATGAATGAATACGAGGAACGGTCGTCCGTTTGTGGGCGGGCGGGCGAGGAAGGCGTTTGGGACGGAATGTTGTTGCTCGATAGGGCGTTATAGGGGTACCCTCCTTGGAAAAGGCGCCACGGAGCGCCTGTCCGAGGTCACGGAATTCTGTTAAGCCAGTCGTATAAATCCTACATCTGTATAGCGATTTATCGTGCCAACTGCCTTTAATGAACCGGTCAAATTGGAAAATTTGGAAGAAATTGAAATGGATACGGTAGCTTGTATGCTAGGCACATGCTCACTCGATAACTGTGCTTGAATACAACTTCCACGATTTTTGATTGTCTATGGAGTTACATAAGGGGGACCGAGCGTAGTTCAGGATGTCCGGAAGCCTAGGGCTCAAGCCGGATACCTAGCTAGTTGAGCCGATCCTTCCATTGATCAACATACATCGGGATAACGCCGTGAAATAAAATGTTAGGAACAGGAGATGCCATGACACGATTAATTTGACACCAAAGTGCAAAGTGCCGAGCTGACCAGCTAAAAATATGGGCCAATTTATGATGCCATTCCTTATGACCTAAACTACACCCAACGACGTCAGCTTCCTTAGCATCCTACGAAACTTCGAAACTTCCGTTCGGTTGGAACTAAAAGAAATTTTCTCAAAAACTTTCCGTCATCAGTCTTAATCCTTCTAATCTTCCAGGTATCAACGGTATCCCGTGGGAGATGGTCGCTCCTTATTTTACGACTCATCGGTCGATCTCACGCACCTATGGGGGAACAAGCGTATGGATCATGTACTTTATTGTCCTACAGGTATGCATGAAAGGATTCAGAAATTGTCCACTCTCACAATCGCACGAATATTTCTTTGACCAACCCTCAAGGAGATTTCTTTTCGCTGCAGATGTTGCGCTTGTCCGCTTCAACAAATAACTGGGGCGTGTCAAGGGGAAGGGGTTGGCGCCGCCAAACCTACCCCCCCACCGCCTCGGCATCCGCAGCGAACAAGAATGCTCTTGTTCCTTCAAATCTACTATGTACTGGTAATTGCAGCAATGGTTGCCCTTCCATCATCAGCGTTGCCGAATATTTTACACGCATCCTATTGGGAATCGTTGGACACAGCAGCGTTTATACTTCGGCAGTTCGTCAGAAGTGAAGAGTCAGTCGCTACTACACTCTCTGCCAGCCTCAACCATCTACCGCTAAAGATTGAGCTACCACCCCTACAGTGGAAAAGAAGGAGAACTCGCTTCAAGGTTCGTAAACATATTGTTAATATCACCGTTTGATCAACGCCCAGCCAATTTGACCCTTGTTGTCCTACCACTGGAGTAGTTTTTTGAACCATCGAAATTCAGGTATCGAATCTTTCGCCGAACCATCGAGCAAACGACGTTCTCGTGGTAGCCGGCAATGAAGTGACCGTCACGGCTAAGTTTTGTTACGGACCCATGGATCTTGTCGCACTGACAAGGGAGCAAGTGTCCGTCTTCCTTTGTCCACAGAGGTAAGATCTAGGACCAGCTGCCCATAATGGAAAATGAAGCGTGCTGGAAAACTATTCAATTTCAGAGGTGACTGGTATGAAGTTGGAGTGCACGAGGTGGATTCTCATGGCCGATTAGTTGTCTCGCTAGGCATGTCTCTCCCATGTGGTATCCATTCCCTTAAGGTGAGTTGAATACGAAAGGAGACTTTCAAGCTGAAGATCATGAGGGAGTTACGTTGGGAGCATATCAAGATGGGCCTGGGTGTTGATTCGAATGGCGAAATGGAGCGCAAACCAGTAAGGTTTATTTGATAGTCGCAGTCCGGCGAGGTGGTGTCAAGACGAGTGGAAAGAGCGTGCCCGTTGCGTTTTCCACCAATATTGGCTGATTGTTTTCTACTTGAACTCGCCACTGTTGGTACAAAACGCTACATAAGCGCTCTTTCCACGCCTTCCAACGCCGCCCCGACGGGATGCGACGATATCAAGTGTATTTCCTGGCTAGTTGACTTGGTACTCTGCAGAATCGCCACACTGAATCATGTGTGTCCTAATGCGAATACCGCGCACGTAACACCACTTGCAAGGCTCCCTCATCGCGACTTAAAGGCAGCACCCGCGTTCATTTGATGTTTCTACGCCCTCCTTAGATATCGTAGCTTTGTCGACAAGGGTGGAGGATGTACTAATTTCGCAGCTCAAAAATACGAGAGGATGGCGCCACCCGCTTGTGAAGAGGATGCCCCCCGTCCACCTGGCTGCTTTGGCTTAGCCTTTAAAGGCTGAGCACGCTTCCAAGAATAATGAGTTATGGAGCCCATATAATACGTGATTCAGTAGTGAATGAAAAAAGTAAAGCAGAAGGAAAATCATGGAAAGTGCTCTATATAGGCTATCCTCTCACCTTTTTAAGGTGCAAAACTAGTACATACTGCATCCTCATAGGGAGGGCTATGATATCCAGAGAGGGCGCGGGAACATCAAATGAACGTGGGCGCTGCCTTTAAAGACTGAAAAAGCGACTTATGGTTGTATGGGCTGAACTATGTCCGTAGGGCTCAACCTGTGGCCCTATATCGATGCGAAAGCGCTGTGGATGGGCCAGACAAATTTAAATTGGTTAATGGCCCTTGCTTCGCTTTTCCAGTCTACAAATACCCTGTCGTGGTCAAACTGATTCGGAGAATCTGTGGTGAGACAAAGAACTTTTCAGATGGTAGTACATGGTGACCGTTCATACTTGGATTCGTTTGTTGCCGTCGTACCGTCAACAACACGATGTGTGGTATTTTCCGTTGACGGATCGCTGACCGCTTCTGTTTCCGTCACTGGAAAAGATCCACGAGTCCGCCCGGGTGCTGTGGACGTGGTGCGCTACTGGTTTGAGCAGGTAAGAGGAGACCTTTGCGCTTGGTTTCAAATCTAATTAGTTTTCGCTCTGTTATTTTCTGGAAGATTTTGACTCTTATGGAGATCGTAATCATTTTCAGGGTCAAGTAATACTCTATCTGACGGCTCGTCCAGACATGCAACAACGGGTTGTGTCGGCATGGTTGGCTCAACACTGCTTCCCACACGGCCTTCTGCTCTTCAATCCATCATTTTCGACGGATCCATTAAAACAAAAATCTCTTCATCTTGAAACACATAATCGACATGGGGATACGGATACATGCGGCATACGGAAGCAGCAAGGTATTATATGACCTAGAGTGTTTGAAAAAAAAACTAGAAAAAAAAGTAGAATTCAAACGTAGTTCAATGTGTCCAAATTGCGGCGACGTGCGCAAACTAGCAGTTTCCCAGCTGGGTAAGCTGTGTTACTGGTAGTGTCATATCTCATGGCTTTAGCGCATACACCACGCCGCTACCCGGTTTGCATGCGTCCGCACCGCAAAGCATTTCGCGCCTCTAAAACAGCTCTTCCTTTGAAACAAGACTAGCTCCCAGTGCTGCAAATTGCATATTTCTTTACTGGAGCCATCGCCTGAAACGGCCATCTTCTAATGCAAAAACCAGTATCTTATCTAGCAACACTACAAGGTGGTCACATCGTACATGGAGATCTCTAATGGCAGGCGGGGAGGGGGGTCGTATTTGATTGCTGAAAAGGAGCGGGAGTCGTATACTGTCACAGGAATTTTTTCTGATTGTTAATTTTTCCCGCTTCACACGCATTACGTATGCCCAGTCAGTGGCGCAGACAGGGCACATCGTTGTTGGGGAATCCCCAATAGGGGGGTCGTATTTGGGCTGAGAAAAATTTATTTTGATAGTTGATTTTTCTCGCTTCATGGACTTTGTAAAGAATGGAAGGGGGTCTATTTGATCATTTCGGAGGAGGAGCCGTATTTACGTTTTGCGTTGTGAGTGCGTTGACTATTTTGGTGGTTTTCCTGTTTCACCTACTATATGCCCCTCGCCCCCGCTCGACAGCAAAAATGTTGTAAAAATGTCGTATAGTAAGTCGACTAAAATCACGCTACCAATGAAGTGCCCTGGGCGCAGAGTCGTATGGTTTGGAGAATCCCCAACAGGCAGGTCGTATCTGGTCCCCGGAGAGGGTGATCGATTTGGGTGTAACGGACGTGTTGAAAGGAAGGGGGTCGTGCTGCCGTGTTGGACAGGGATGGTCCGTAATTCACTTTCCGGCCTTGTTGGGATAAAGGTGGTTGACTTTTCGTGATTTCCCGTTTCACATGTGCTGTCCCCCAGACAGCAGAATTTTTGGGAAAAAGTAGGGTATTTTTCGGAATGTTTCGGAGAAGTGACAGGATTTTGGAGAAAATCTGAGAATCGGTAGAGGGGAGGGGGTCGTATTTTTCTCGCGGCCTGTCCCGTTTCACATGTGCTGTTTACCCCCACAACCCCCCGCTCGACAGCTTGATGAGGAGAGCAGAGGGCCAGAGGGGGAGGGGGTCGTACGGGCTCGATCAAAATCCCCAACCAGTGATGTGCCCTGCAGTGGTGCCTTTGAGCTACTATTTGTGACATTAGGGTGCGAAAGTGCTCCCTCACCTCCTTCACCGCCCAACGGCTAGTTTTCAGGAATGTGGTGAGACGATCAGGTCGGCTGTGGAAGGGTCATATCGATCGCGAGCAAAAATTCTCCTAAACGCTCATTATGTGTCCTTACTACAACGTCTATGCATTTAGGATGTGGCGGTGTACTGTGGCGCTGGTGTTGATCCGAAACGGATTGTGTCAGTATCGGGTACTCGTCGACGGGCGTGCATCTCTATCGGTAAATTCTCTCTTTTACAACAGCCGAAAAACTTTGGGTGAATTAAAGGAAATCTTATATTTTAGAAAGCTACTCAAACCATCTGGAAGAGCTTATCAACGGTGGGTCACAACTGTCTCAAGCTGTTGAATTGTCGGAACAGATCAACACCTTGGGACTTGCAACGTCGCATCATCGGTGAGCTACGAAACCCCTGTCAACACTGTTTCTGAAGAGATCTTGTCAGGAGGGAATAAACTTGAATTGAATCAATTAATTAGATGCGCACCAGGACCTAAGTGACGCGGGGGGGGTGGGTGGGGAGGGCAGGTATTGGGCCCCACTGAGTCAACTAGTTAGTTTATGCGCGTCTTCACCCGTGTGCATTGAATCTATGGGCCGGCCCCTCCAAGTCATGACTTGACCCGGCGTGTCTCGCCTTGTATAACTATGGACATACCTCTATGGAAACATCAACTACATTTAATTCCAAGTG